GCTTTTGATAGTGATGTTGCTATTAGCTAGCAATGTAATATGTTCCTGACGCTCTGTTAGCATCGTACATCTGCATGTAAACGCTTAAGCTTGTTTTAAGACACCCTGGCGAGTTTCTATTGGGCTTTATGTGTCGACTACTAGAGTACGTCATAGTCAACGAAGTTAATGTTACTCCGCGTTACTCAACATCAATTGAGAAAATCTGGCAAAAAATAAAAACTGGTCATGAATCTTTTCTTCTCGGCTGCTTATATCGTCTACTAGTTCTTACTCAGTTTATCACACCAACCACGGCTACTCCGCAGATGCGTTTTTTTACTTTTTTACTATTAATCCGCAGATTAGTTGAGAATATAACAAACTGAGTTAGGTGACATTCATTAAGACACTTTTGGAACCTGATATCGCCTTGATGCTTATCTCTTACAAGAGCAACAGTTGCAATACCAGAGTTAACTTCAATAGACTCATAGGATGTATGACTAAAATTCAAATCCCCATATAGTAGTATTGCCAAGCAATTCATATTAGGCAGCATCTGCGGAGTAGCCGTGGTTGATATGATAAACTTAGTAAGAACCTGATCATTAAGGTTGTGCGAACGATATAAGCAGCCGTGAAGAAAAGATTCTTGACTAGTTTTTATTTTTCGACAGATTTTCTCAATTGATGTTGAGTTAACTTCGTTGACTATGACATCGTCTATTGTGTAAATGGCAACTTCACAACCACCCCCACCCCCACCCCACCCCCATCTTATCGTCTCTTTTTTTGCAATGTGGTTAGTAGCCGGGTATGGCAACGTCTGATAAATCTGTGAACCAAGTTTCCGCAAAAAATATGTTGTATGCCCAAATAGATTTAGGCAGAGCAGATAGCCTGGCAAACAGTTATCGATGTTTTTGATTATTGAGTAAGCATGGGTTGTTTGCCCAGTAGCATAGATAACCAGATGGAATGGTGGAAGTGTTTGGTTGTTACTGTTACATTTTTACTTTAGTTATTGGTCTAGGACGTCTAGTTGGTAGTGGAGGTTACTGAGATAGGAGCGGTTGTGCAACTAGCGTAGTCAGCCAGAGCTCTTTCTGGAATGCAAACACATACGCTTTTTTTATTTTTTTGTAGTTTTATTTTTTTTTTTAGTTTTTTTAGATACTACCAGAAGTTACAGTCTTATCACAGAGCACTGCGGGAGAACAATTAACAAGAAGCTCACGCCTCCTTCCGTATTAATGTTGCTTGTTGGGCTAGAGCTGGCATCGAACCTTGGACCTCTGGGTTCTGAGCCAGAACTCTAACCACTGCGCCACGGCTGCTTAGATTTTAACTTATAATTTTTATTTTTTAAACTAATTTAATGGGTTTCAATGGATCATTTGCAATATATATATATATGATTGGCACTGATTGGACGTTGATTCGATGACATTGATGCAACTAATGCGACCTGTCCTTTGAAGTATAACATTCTGAAACAGATTATCTATTATGTTAGCAGCTAAAAGTTTGTTGTTTAACTTCTCTAGCTGGGTACGTGTGGCGTTGAACTCAGTTTGTTGCTCTAGCATTCTGTACTTACGTTCGAAGACACCCTTGTATATCTCTTATTTATAATGTGCGCGTGTTTTGATTATTTCAATTCAAGAAGAACTTAAATGAACTTATGACTTTGCCATACATTTAAATCCTTTTTGATAGATATTCCATATATTTGTACCTCGATTTGCAATACGATATTCAGTATATTTATTAACGTTTTGAGGCAGCTTATATGTGTTACTTACATTTGCTCTTAGATAATAGTTTTCATTTCTACTTATTTTAAACTTGTTGTTAAGGTTTTCAGGAGAGAGACTATTGTTGAATCAATACATAAAAATTAAATCCTGATACATATTTATTTCAAAAATATCGATCATTTTCATATCATTCATTATAGGTTTAGCGTGTTCACGCTTATTTTTAGAATAAATAATTCTCCACGGATGTTTTTGTAAGCTATAAATTTTTTTGTAAGCTATAAATTTTTTTAAGTTTTGATGGTTGCGTACTTGCCCATGATATATTTTCATAACTGATGAAGCAATGAATTAATCCAGAATATATTAGTTTAAGACTTTGTTTATTAATATATGAACGAACTCGATCATACCAATTTTGTTGGTGATCTTAGATTGAATATATATTATTTGAGGAAACCAGGATAAATTCTCACTAACAACAATTTATAATAATAATAATTTGATAATGTAAATAAATGATAAATCATGGTAACATAAGAGACTTTTTAACTGTTTGCCTATCTAAAGTTAGTACTGGTGTTCAAGCGGAGCCGCATTAATTTCCGTTAACAAATGAAAAATTTCATCTCCAAACTGCCAATGCAAGCAACGAAGCTAGACTGGATATACAAGCAAAAGGGTTTTGGAGGAAGGAAAAAACTGCATTTTTTGATGTTAGAGTAACGCACGTAAATTCCAAATCTTACAAAAAACATCCAACAAAACAGATATTTTGTGGACACGATGAAGCAAAAAAAACATGAGTATTTAGATAGAGTTGTAAAAGTTGAGCACGGTACATTTACCAAAAGAAAAACCTTGAGCACGGTACATTCACCAAAAATTACATTGATTTTTGGGACAAATGGTGGACTCGGAGACAAATGTAAACGCTTCACGACAATTGGCTGAGGACACATCTCTTAATGGAGATTATGCAACCTTCCTGCTCTGCCTAAGAGGCTCGCGAACTCCAATTAGTTAATACCACACTGACGATGTTGGTTTAGAAAATGCACAAAGTGGATTTATTTAGATTGTATTTTTAAAGTGTCATTATGTAAATTGGTTTTTAACTCTGATAAAGGTATCTGATTAAGTTTGACAACTTTACTTTTTTTTGGTCGTTTTGAAGCGGTTAGCACATACGAAACCAGTAGCATCCTCCAATCCCGTTGTTAAAAAAAATCCATAGCAAATTTTCTGTGTTAAGGCGAGTTTCCACTCATCCGTTTTTTAACGGGAACGGGATAAAAAAGAAAAAAATAATCACGTGAGCATGCGTAATAAAAGTTTTTATTTGTCCGAAAGAAAACTGTGCATGCTCACGTGATTCTTTTTCCGTTCCCTTTCCCTTTCCCGTAGAAAAACGGATGAGTGGTAGACTTTTTAAAACCGATTACAATGACGTGAACTCGTGACTTCAAATATTTTTATTTTGAGCAGCTATAAAAGTAATTAATTGCTACCGTTGCTGTTTGCTCTTCTCCGTTTTGTCTGTTAGCAAAGATACAAATAATGGCGTGGCAGATGATTTTATTTCTTTCAATTCGTTAACATTTGGACTAAAAAATCAATTTTGTCTTTTACGGCTTTTTTTCTTACTTTATTAAATTTTTTCTTATCCGCCAGTGCAACAAGCACAATTGCCTTGATCATTAGAGCGATATCATTCTAGTAACTTCTCATGAGAATAGTGTTTATATCGTTTACATCTACTGTTGCTTAAAAAGTGTTGGTGGCTATTTCTTCAATTCGTCGCGTTAGGTTGACAAGGTTCTAACTGAAATTTTTTATATAAGGAGAATTTAGAAAAAATCTTTTACATTTGTTTATGTATAAAAAACATAAGTAAACAAAAAACTATTATATAAATATTTTTATTTAGACAATAAAAAAAAAAAAAGAAAAAACGATTTATTTGCTTATCTCCAAATATAAAAAAAAATCAGCTAGAACTTAGTCAAACCAACGCGACAAGTTGTGAGAAAATGATTTTAAAAGTTTAAAATCGAGTACAATTTCAAATATTTAAAAATATATTATGTTTTTAAACATCTTAATTTGTATACATCAATCAGTGAAGATCATCTTCTTTCTCTCTTGCCTCTGTTGCTAAGTGATTTCAGTGACTCGGGAAAGTTTAAGTCTTTGACTTTTTTGACTTTTTGTATTTTTATTGTGAAGAAAGGGTTGCTTTCAAATTAGAACCATTTCATCTTGTGAAAGAACTTTCATCAGAGATGAATGAAATAAATGCAATAAATAATTTTAACTCAGGATAAGCTTTTATTCATTCATTTTATACTCGATTGATTTTTCTTTAAAATGTTAAAAAAAATCGGTATAGAATTTTATAAAGCAAACCAGAAAAGTAATAAAAAGGAAAAAAATACTCCAAAAGACCAACCTTAAACTAGATTTTTAAAATTGAAATAGAAAATACTTTTCAATTTCAAACCCCCCACTTCACCCATCAGTTTTTCCCCACCCTAAATTAAAAAAAAAAGGAATTTAAGAAATTTGATTTTAAAAAAACATTTTTTAATTACGAACGTAATTAGTATTTAAGTTAAAAACTGTGAAATTATTTTTTAGGGTTTTTCACTGTGTTTTAGAGATTACTTACAGAGATAACAAATTTAATATTTGTTTCTTATTTTTTTAATAACATTTTAAATATATTTTTATAATTGTTTATTTCTAGTGTTTCAGTCAGGATAAATGCATCCAATTTGTATAAATGTTCCTCTAAATAAATCTGATAAAATGATATGCAAGAAATTTGTAATAAGTTTGGAAATAAACCATTATTTTAAGGGCATAAAGTATACCCGTAATTAAGATGTTAGAACACAGCTAAGTTCTAATAGCCAACCGGTTATCGACATTGATAAATAGTAAAAGCGTCTTCGATAAATAAAGATTTAGGTTAGATTAATTCTAGGCTTTTTATATGTTGAAACCCAGGTTTTATCTTAAAACAAGCAGTCGTAAATGTAGCACTTTTATTGTTTTTTTAGAAAGTATATGTCTATGGCGTTTTGCGCATTTAAAATAATGTCAGAACTAAAAAAATTTGTCTTATTATTTTTTGTTAACAAATAACCCAGTTAAAATATTTCTACTAACATTTTGAATTTTGAGGGTAGTTTTCTTTACTAAACATGTTCAAAAGTCGAGTAATACTCGAAAAAAAATGTAAATAAATAAAAATTTTAAAAACAGCTTAAGAATTAATCTTCAAGAAAATACTTTTTTAAATGTTTTCCTACGGAATTCCAGGCTATATATGTTGAATACTGCATAATAGTCATATTTCTAACGTCTTTTTCGTAAAGGTTCTCCATCATTCTATGAGCTATTTCGCCTGGAATTGTATTTGTTTTATCTATTATATTTGCAAGATGTTTAATGAATTCAAATTTTTGAAATTCACATTCGTTATGCCAACAATGGATATGTGGAGTTTCCCAAATTAATTTATCACTACATGATGGGACATCCATTGCTCCTTTGTGATTTTCTGAAAAATCTTCAACTAAATGGTTTAATGACAACTCGGCTCCATATAAAAGTGACACAGGGCGCCACCATGTTGGCCACTGACCGTAAATATTATTCTGCAAATCTAATTTCTCTAAACCTGGCAAATTAGGATGAAACTCGTTTAAATAAATGTAAGACGTAAGTTCCAACGTTTTTTTTGCAAGAGTGATAAAAACTTTGGTTTCTCCTAACCACGTTGATCCAACGTTATGAATACCGGCGTGTTTCATCCCCAGTTTTTTAGATATATCTTTTAAACGATTTCTGTTAAAATCAACACTGTACCCACCTTCTCCTGTCATTATATTGTACTTTGGTTTCCAAAAGTATATAGCTGGACTTAAAAAAGCGTCATAATCAGTACGCATTGTATATTTGTATGATTCTAAGATGAAGTAAATATCTGTTCGATTGAACATGATGAACGAGTTTATTGGACCGTAATCGATATTTGACTCAAAAGGTTGTTCTATGACGTAGCACTCTTGGTTATTGAAAATGTTATTGTTTATGTTATATTCATTGCATACTACTTTTAAATGATCTGCAACTGATGGATGACTAAAAACAAGAAGGTCTATGTGATTTTTGATTCCATAAATGCTTTCAAAAGATTTCA